ACGGCTGTGGCTAAGGAGGTAGACTGGGTCATCCACTAATGGGAAGGTTGGCGGTTCGATCCCCGCCTCCTCTCATTGCATGTCGAGCAAGACTGAACCCTGAATTGCTCCTGATGTTGTGTGTGCGTGAATGAGTTAGTTTCTGTCAGTGTATGAGTGGGTGAATGTGGCATGAAGTGTACAGTAAGGTGCTATGTACAATCCATGTAACAAACAGGAATTGGGAGCTCTTGCTCTCTGCACAGGCTGACAGGTAACAGCACTATAGCATTCTTTTTTGTTTAGACAGAGTAAAGGGGTGTGACTAAGCAGAGCATTATGTATTTTCATTAATGACATCTGAACTTGGTTTAGAGAAGTCTGTTTCTGCAACATGATAGTGAGTATTTATTTTTTCTTTTATTTATGAATTATTTTATTGCTGTTTTGGCTTTTATTTTTGTATTTATTGCCAATCGCTTTCACTTTCATTATATTTAAACATCATTGTCTGACCTCTGCCATGATCTTTTTCTTGTTTTTTATTTCCATTTTGTCTTGCTTTTGTTGCAGTTTTTAAAGGTGCTATGTAAATAAAGTTAGTATTAAGTTTTCTTCATGACATTTTTGACATTTTTTTCTTACATGTGAAAGCAGGAACATCAGACTCTGTCTCTTTGGATCCACTTCATGGCAGGACGTGCTGTTATTGTTCCAACCACATTACAGTAATGTGCCACGGGACAATAAGAGGTGCTGTGAGGGTATACACAGGCCGTTAATCTGGTCTCATCCCCCTCTGATGCTGTAAACCAGCCAAAAAATTCACTTAACTTAATTCAAGTAATCATGTTTAGGAGCATAAGGTCTGGTCTAAATTAGTCCATTCCCCCAGCGTCACTGCTTGGAGTCCTGTCAGCTAAAAAAAACAAAAACAAATTTAATTTAATCCAGTATTTGTCATGCACTATTGTTCGGGGCACATGCAATCAGTGACTAAATGGATTAGCTGCAGAATGTAAAAGTTAAACAACAAATTTGCGTTCCCGCTACCCGAAGGGGGAAAGCTGGAAAATACTTCCACATCACAATCCACGTTCTCGCTCGGTGAGGTGGATGAGCCTTTGTTTAAGAATTCAATAAATTAGTCATCAGTTGGACAGCGGCATGGGGATGCCTCCGCAAGGGCAGTATGGGCAAAGAGATACAGATGTGACAGCACAGAGGGGTCAGAAAGATTTGGGACATGCGGTCCAGCCCACTCTAACCTGAGCTGGCGTAACGAGAGGCTGCTTTACCATTCGTCCCTCGGCCTCTTCCTCTTGTGCTATAATCACACAGCCTTTCAAATCTGCTCCAAGGCACGCTGCTTACGGCTGTCTCCAAGGAGCTCTAATCAAAAGCAAAAGGCGGGGGCGTAGCGGCTCACACTCATCTCCGAGGCCCCCCTCCCTCACTCGAAAAACCCAGAGGTCCACATGGTCTGTATCATGCTATGAGCTCACCAGAGACGAGTCATGACTTCACCGCAACAAGGCCAGGCCTAACACATCATTATTACAGCTCATTGTTCCAAACCAGATCCTTACAGGAGGTATCCACACCGTACCCTCACACATAGGCTCACCGTCCAGAAAACATCAAAACAACAGTCTGGTAAATTATTAAGAAACTTTATTGGACATAATGGGTATACAAATATCATGCGTATTTACAGCATATAAAAAGTTTCAAAAACCAAAAGGAGACAATAACAGCTAATTAAAGTTTTACACATCTACAACGCCCAAACAAAGGCGATCTTGGCATGGTGGGTAAGCTTGAATCATCGTTCGCTTTGCGAACGGAAAATAAATGTGAAACTGCAATAAAACCACGCGGGGGCCCTCAAAATCATCCGACTGCAGTTTAATCTAGAAGCATTTCTTGGCACAGAAAACACTCTCACACATAGCAACACACACATAGCGCACAAGTTACACATTCATAGAAAAACATGAGGTAGTTAAATGGTTAAAAAGAAAATACAATCAATAACTAGATATATGGATTTGTGCTCCAATTACAGCTGTTCTCAGATCAGCATCTTTTACTACTTCTGCACACTTTTTACAACAATGCTCCTTTTGCCTGATACAGCATCATTATTTCAGATTATCTTTAAATACCACATTTAGTCACGGTCTTAATGGGGGAAGTGGTGGAGCTTTTTCCCCAGCGTGCACCGGGGCAAAAGGCTGGGGAGGAATGTTGATATTTGAACGGCAACTCTGGTGAATTGTATCGTTAGTTTGGGTGAAAAGAATATCCCCCAAATTACTTCAAATGAGAAGATTAGATCCAGAACATAACTTGAGGCTCAGCCAGTTAACAGCATGACACGCAGGAGTGGAGGAGATGATTACGTACAGTACGGGAGATGGATTTGCCACAGTCGATAAGAAAGACCTCAAAACTAGAGGAATGTCAGAAAGCCTTAATCCCACAACGACCGCTGATTATAGGCTGGGGCACATTTCCACTCTGCAAGACATGAATCTTTCACTGTACACAGTGTTGTTGTTGTTCACAATAATGCTGCTTGATAACAGCAACAGCGCACTGCATATCTCTGCTGTGTATTTACTGCATACATGAGCTTTACTGAATAGAGGTTTCAACTGGGTGCTGGCATAGACACGCCTGGCAACAGGCCCGATAAAACAAACAAGTTCTAATGTTGCTCTCAAACTGAGTGGTTCTAATACAACTCAATAAAAATGATTCCTCAAGTGTTATTGAAAACAGTCAAGTTTCCAGAAACAAAATAACAGCTGGATTTTCCCCACACTCCATTCTGACTGTACACGCTTATTATACATTCCACTCTAAATTTGGTTTAACTGCTGCCATCAGTGGTTTAGCCTTGATTTAATTTTTTTTTCATTATTTAAGGGGGTAAACATCATTGATGTGACCACAGAACCCAAACAAGTTTGGTTTTGTTTGTATATGACAGTTAGGGACGCACCGATTTATTGGCCGAACGTTGACTGACATCAGCCTATTAGCAAGTGAGGCACTCACCGATGTAAGTGCTCAATGTGTCCATAGACTGTGTATTTAACATTGGACATAGTCTCTGTGACATCACCCATAGGTTTCTGAAGAGCCGTTCTCGCCATCTTGGAAGTTCTGCCTGCGCAGGCTCTCGGCTAATCCAAAAATGAGCAAATAAGTGGAGCCTGGGCTGAATGAGGCCTGATTACTGAAAACAGCCTCCTGCGACGGCACCCACCTGTCACTCAAACCGGACATCCCCTTAATTATGCATAACTACAAGCCTTCATATAATTTTAATTGGTGAATTATATAAAAATCCACCGTTGTCATAAACGGGAAAATTAGTTACAGAGACCAAAACTGTACCAGGCTGTAAACATGCTGCTGTAAAGTTGGGCATTTGAATATGGGGTCTTGTGTCACATCAATTTTGTGCTGGCTTAATGTTGTATTGGTTATTTCCAACTCAGCCAAGAATTTCACAATCGGTGCATCTCTAATGACAATACAGTAACTGAGCATCGAGCTTCTGACTACATCATTTACTAATACTATGTTAAAATATATAATTTAATATCCGTTGCTACAGCTTATCTTCAATGATATCAAATTTGTATTTAAGATATATTAATTTCGCAAAGGTTATAGAACATCTGATTTCTTTACTTCACGTGAAAATATGTTAGTAAACACAATATCTATACATAATCAGCAATCAATCTGCAACAACTTCAAAAATGAGTCGGCACTGCCAAGCGGGGAAATTCCACCCAAACATTAGATGACATCTATAATAATGTTTAAATAGACCATAAGGAGTTGTATTCCATGTACAGAAGAAGGTAATGCTTTTTTTGAAAAACATTTATACATAATATCCATTACAAACTCATTACATGTTTTATGACACATTCTTTGATAAAGAAATGAAATATAAAAATGTAAATAAACATGATGTCAGTGCCATGTCAACTCGGTTTTTAATATCAACTAGGATTTTTAAAATGTAGGTTGATATATTCTAAAAGTTTGTTAGCACAATGTATTCCTCACTAAAACAGACTCAATGTGTGATTAAATAAATCACTTTGCATTCCATCTATAAATATTTCATTTTTATCAGTCAAGTGTCATAAAAAAATGCCGTGAGGCTTTTATGAATAAACTGAATAAATTCCCCCACAAATGTGTGTTATGTATACGAGCACATCCACAATTCACAGTACTTACACACATAGAAGACAATAAATTTCTCTTGGTAAATATATTCCAAAATATAATTCTATACACAAATATATATATTTATACTCTGTTCCCTCTGTAGAAAGCTTTATACATGTTTACATAAGAAAAAAAAAATCAAAAGCTTTGAGATAATACACATTCTGTTTTTCTTGTTACGGTTAACTGGTTACAGGGAGACGTCCCTTCTCGAGGTCAAAGGGCCCCACACACAGTCTAACAGAAACACACGCAGGCTAAAGGAAGGCACTACAGCAAACATTCATAGTATTCTGAGGCGGTGGGGTAGTCGTGGTGTTGCAGTTTGAAGAAAACATGAAAATATATGTTCATAACAATGAGCTTGAGCTTATTCAACACACTGTCAGTGCCAAGATTTATACAAAAATAACTGGGATTAAAAAATCTGTACATTTGGTTTTATAATAATAATAATCTACTCTGTCAGATAAGAGGATAATGAGCTGTGTAATTAAGTACTGAAACATTTAGTTGAATAATTGACAGTCAGTTAACAGAAAAATAATCATTGTTTAAGTCAATTAATCAAGGGAACATGCCAAATATACATTTTTACAGTTGATCAAATGTGAGAATTGGCTGCTTTTCTGTGTTTTAAATCTTATATTTTTGGTTGTAGACTGTTGTCTTTTACATTATTTTCTGATATTTTGTAGACTAAATGATTAATCGATAAAAGTAAAAGCAA